TCCGTGTGCGTGTCTGTTTCCGTGTGCGTGTCTGTTTCCGTGTGCGTGTGTCAATGCCAGCCTGCCTTTCCCTCCTCCGTGACATTCTCTGATCTCTCCCTCTCCCGAAGTAGCAGTGTAAACACGGCTCGCAAAGAGCCACTGTCCTTCAAACGGGGAAATAAAAAGGCCCCGCAGAGGGAAAGCGGCTGAAGTTGCGCAGTCTCGACAGCGTGACAATGTATCGCTCACCCGCTCTCGTTCCTTTTCCCTTTGCTCCACCATCCGGAAACGGCACTGCCCAGGACTTTGAGGATGATCTGCGAGCTCAGGCAGGGAGGGGACACCGGTGTTCGGTGAGCCGGGGCTCGTACCAGCTGCAGGCGCAGATGAATCGCACCAGTTACGAGGATAAGTGAGTATAACAGTTCCCTGCTCTCCCCCCTCCCCAATCCCCGCGAAGGGGAATAAAACACACTTTAACAGCTCCCCCCCCCCCCCCCCAGGGTGAGGCACCTCCCTGGACAATAGCAGGTTACAATCACCCAGCATGGAAACTGACCCTTCGGCCCATCCGTGTTGACCACAATCCCAAACTAAACTGGCCCCACCTGCCTGCTGAACCTTTGAACCTTTCCTGCTCATGTACCTATCCAAATGTCTTTTACACGTCGTAATTGTACCCACATCCACCACTTCCTCTGGCAGTTCGTTCCACACACGGACTGCTTTCCATGTCAAAGGTCGCCCCTTGCGTCCTTCATTAAATCTTTCTCCTCTCGCCTTAAAAATATGCCCCCAGTTTTGAAATCCCCCCACCTGCCATTCTCCCTATCCATGCCCCTCAAGATTTTATAAACCTCTGTAAGGTCACCGATCAGCCTCCGACGCTCCAGTGAAAAAAGTCCCAGCCTCTCCCTTTAACTCAAACCCTCCATTCCCGGCAACATCCTGGTAAATCTCTCCCGAACCCTCACCAGTTTAATAATATCCTTCCTATAACAGGGTGACCAGAACTGGGCACAGTGCTCCAGAAGAAGCCTCACCAACATCTTGTACAACCTCAACATGACATCTCCAACTCCTATACTCAAAGGGTCTGAGCGATGAAGGCAAGTGTGCCAAACGCCTTCCTCCCCACCCTGTCTACCTGTGACTTCAAAGAATTACGTACCTGAACCCCTCAAGGTCTCTCTGTTCCACAAGATTACCCACAGACCTGCTCTTAATTGTAAAAGTCCTGCCCTTGTTTGTTTTACCAAAATGCAACACCTCGCATTTATCCGAATTGAACTCTGCCTGCCCCTCCTCGGCCTGTTGGCTCAATCGATCGAGAAATCTTGGTAATCTTCGGGAGCTGTCTTCACTGTTCACTACAGCAGGAACCTTGTTGTCATCCACAAACTTACTGACTCCTATATTCTCATCCAAATCGTTTATATAAATAACAAACAAGTGTGGGCCTAGCACCGATCTGTGCTGTGGTCTGACCAGTGCCCTGTATTACTGAAACAATACCTTCCCACTGTTGTACTCAATTACGTTCTCTCTTTCTCTGTCTCTGGGTCAGGTCACCGGGCAGTGTGGTACCCACCTCAGTAGCGGAGGCCAGCAGGGCGATGGCAGGTGACACCACCCTCAGCGAGAACTACGCTTTCGCAGGAATGTACCACATCTTCGACCAGCATGTGGACGAGGCTGGTGAGGGAGCGGACGGCGTCGGGGGAGCGGGCGCCGTCGGAGGGTGGGCGCTGAGGGAGCGGGCGCCGTCGGAGGGTCAGGGCCGAGGGAGCGCCCGGAAGCAGATGGAACAGGAACTTGGAAGAGGGTGGAATGAGATAAATACTCGACAGGGGATGGACGTGCATGAGAGTGGGGGGCTAGGAGAGCTTGAAGGGCGGAATGGCGTCCTCTTGTTCTTTGAGGTTTGTGTGAGGGTCACGCCATCCCCCTGGAACAGGGACCCTGGCAGTTTCTGGGCTCTTTCCACTTACACGGTCTACTTTGGGTGGGGGTTTGTGCTGCTTGTCTGAGTGACCATTCTGTCTGTCTCTCTCTCTCTCTCTCTCTGCTGGCTCAGTGCCCAAAGTGCAGTTTGCCAACGACGACAAGAACCGACTGGCCTGCTGTTCACTGGACGGTACCATCTCGGTGTGCCAGCTGGTGCCCACTCCCCCGGCAGTGCTGCGGGTGCTGAAGGGTCACAGCCGAGGGGTCACCGACTTTGCCTGGTCACTGTCCAACGACATCATCGTCAGCACAGCGCTGGATGCCACCATGCGCATCTGGGCCACCGACAGCGGCAAGTGTATCCGCGAGATTCCCGATCCCGACGGCTCTGAGCTCCTCTGCTGTACCTTCCAGCCCATGAACAACAACCTCACTGTGGTATGTGGCAGCGCAGGGGTCGGCGCCGAGGGAGCGCCGCGCTGTCGGAGGGTCGGCGCCGAGGGAGCGCCGCGCTGTCGGAGGGTCGGCAGAGGGGAGAGGGAACCACCCTCTGTGTGAATAAGTTGCCCCTGGGATCCCTTTTAAATCCTTTATCTCTCATCTTAAAAATATGCCCCCTAGTCTTGAACTCCCCCACCCTAGGGGAAAGAAACCCAGCCATCACCCTATCCATGCCCCTCATGATTTTATAAACCTCTGTAAGGTCACCCCTCAGCTCCGACGCTCCAGTGAAAAAAGTCCCAGCCTCTCCCTTTAACTCAAACCCTCCATTCCCAGCAACATCCTGGTAAATCTCTCCCAAACCTTCTCCAGTTTAATAATATCCTTCCTATAACAGGGCGACCAGAACTCGCCACAGTGCTCCAGGAGAGGCCTCACCAACCTCCTGTACAACCTCAACGTGACATCCCCAGCTCCTACACTCAAAGGGGCTGAGGGATGAAGGCAAGTGTGCCAAATGCCTTCTTCCCCACCCTGTCTACCTGTGACGCTAACTTCAAAGGATTATGTCCCTGAACCCCCAGGTCTCTCTGTTCCACAACACCACCCCAAGGCCCTACTTTTAACTGTAGAAGTCCTGCCCCTTGTTTGTTTGACCAAAATGCAACACCTTGCGTTTATCCGAATTGAACTCCGTCTCCCTCTCCTCAGCCCATCGGCTCAAGATCCCTTTGTAATCTTAGAGAACCTCCTTCACTGACCACTGTTCCACCAGTCTGGGTGTCATCTGCAAACTGACTGACTGTGCCTCCTAAATACAAACAGCAGCAGACCCAGCACCGATCCCTGGGGAACGCTGCTGGCCAGGGGCCTGCAGCTCACCCAACAACCCTCCACCTTGTGTAACAATCCTGCAGCCCGTCTGGGGTTATATATAACGAAACGGGTTTGGGATTCGATACTGCTGTCAGCACAGACATGGCCAGTTACAAATACTTGCAAAGTTTTGGCTGGTCTGGTTATCGATGAGGTGAATCGTGGAGAAATGAGGAGCTGGAGATAGAGGGCAGAGAGGCGGGAGGGCTGGGGGAAACGGGGATATTTTGTCCCCTCGCCCTCCTGAAGCAGATCGAACCGCTGCCTCTTGTGTTTTTCTGTCCTGCTTCAGGTGGGGAACAGTAAACACAACGTTCATGTGATGAACATCTCGACTGGGAAGAAGGTGAAAGGAGGCTCGAGCAAGCTGACAGGCCGCGTCCTAGCCCTGTCCTTCGATTCTCCAGGCAGGATCCTCTGGGCTGGTGATGACCGGGGCAGTATCTTCTCCTTCCTGTTTGACATGGCCACAGGTAACCGCCAGGCTGTTCCACGGCCTCATGGGAGTGCCTCGGCCTGCCGCGGCCCCCAACCACACTCCCCGTACCCACCCCCAATCCCCACCCTTGCCCTCACCCCCATCCCCCACCGCACTCCCCATACCCAACCCCACCCCTACCCCCCACCTTTACCCCCATCCCCCAACCCTCACCCTCACCCTCACCCCCATTCCCCACCCCTATCCCCAACCCCCACCACCCACCACATTCCCCGTACCCATCTCCCTCCCTGTACCCACGCCCCAACCCCCACCGCATTCCCCGTACCCACCCTCATCCCCAGCCCCCAACCCCATCCCCACCCTCAATCCCCACCACATTCCCCGGACCCGCCACCATCACCATACCCCACCGCCATGCCCCACAAACACTCGATTCTTCTGGTAACCGTCCCGCTCACTCTCTGTCTGCCCCCACCCCCACTCTCTCTCTCCCCACCCCCCCTGCTCCGTGTTCACACCCTCTCTGTCTCCCTGTCCCCCCAGGGAAGCTAACGAAAGTGAAGAGGTTGGTGGTGAGTGAGGGCAGTTCGATAACTAGTATCTCAGCCCGAACATGGATTAGCCGTGAGGCCCGGGACCCCTCCCTGCTCGTTAATGCTTGTGTCAACAAGCTGCTTCTGTACAGGTAACAAGGGGCCTGGGGCTCCGAGGGCATGGGGGGGTGGGGGAGGCTGTGTTGGGGGG